TTGGATCTACACAACGGAAGTACTGGCAGTCCAGCTTGAATATATTATCTAGATACCAATGCAATTTCAAGCTCAACGTGGAAGCATATGTGATGCCTTCACGTTTAACAACATACTTACCGTCCACAACTATTGCCGACTCCACACTCTCCTGGTCACATTTGAAAGGTCTCAAGCTGGCAGATCCCACCTTTAATCAACCAGGGAGAGTTGATATGCTTCTAGGTGTAGAAGTATATGCAGCCATTCTGAAAAATGAAATTATTCGAGGTCCTCCTGGCTCCCATGCGCACAACATACAAGTTTTGGATGGATTCTCTTTGGAAATAATACACAATGACATTGAAGAAAGGAAAATAACAGTTATGCACCACCACATGGATTTTGATGAACTGTTACACACACTATGGGAGTTAGACTGTGATAATCAAAGAAAACTTACACAAGAAGAGGAACTCTGGAGAACATTTATTATGAAAATGTTAGGAGAGACAATGAAGGAAGATACATTGTGAAATTACCTTTTAAATCAGATGTCATACTAAGTACAGAAGGTAATACCAGGGATATAGCACTAAGAAGACTAACACAACTAGAGAGAAGATTACAGAGAGACATGAAGTTAAAGACAGAATACACTAAAGTGATGCAAGAATATATGGAATTGAATCATATGGAAGAAGTACCAGAAGAAGAATTAAGGAAACCCTCTGTCTACCTTCCTCATCATGCAGTTGTAAAGGATACAAGTGAGACTACCAAAGTAAGAACTGTGTTCAATGCCTCCTCAATGGGATCTAATAATATTTCCATTAATGATGAGTTACTAGTTGGCCCACAATTGCAAGAAGACATGAGATCATTGGTTATGAGATGGAGACTAAAACGGGTTTGTTTTATAGCAGATATTGAGAAAATGTATCGGCAGATATTGGTTACCAAACCGGATGCAGATTACCAACGAATTTTGTGGAGAATTGATCCAAATCTTAAAGTCAAAGATTACAGATTGCTTTGGGTAACATTTGGAACTGCTTCGGCTCCGTTCCTTGCTGTAAGAACTCTACAACAAGTTGCAGAAGATGAAGGCAAAGGTTTCCCTGAAGCAACTAGAATGATTATGGAAGACTTCTGGATGGATGACTTATTATCTGGTAACGATACAGTAAGTGAAGCCATTGAATCAGCAAGAAATGTTAATGACATCTTGAATCGTGGCGGTTTCAAATTACAAAAATGGTCTTCTAATAGTATTGAATTTATGAAAAATATTTCACCTACAGAAAGAAGTACATTGATAAATGTGGATATGAACCTGGGAGGAACTGTTAGAACGTTGGGGTTATCATGGAATATAGGAGATGATGTGCTACAGTATAATCTTAATTTGCCAGAAGTGCCACTTACCATCACTAAGAGAAGTATAGTTACCTGGAAAACTAATAATACAAAGACTATGGTTGAAAAGACTTACCTTTTTTTTTTTTTTTTTTTTTCGGGGAGAGGGCCGAACCTCCTACGAGGGCCCCGCGCAAAAGGGGCGCGCGGGGTATGTGAGACTCAGCGATCTGCATGGTGTTGTGAGCAGACCGCGGGCCCAAGGATTTTAGGACCCACCCACTAAACGACTCCCCTGCACTCTTACAGCCGACGTCCGATCCCCTCCGAGGTCAGAACCCGGATGAGGTAGGGGAGCTACCGCGGTCAACACTACAACCAGACGGCGCGGCTCACCCCAAGGACGCCCAGCCGACGGAGCCTTCGAGGCGAATCGAAGGCTCTGAAACGTCGGCCGTCTCGGTACGGCAGCCCGTCGGGCCGCCCAGACGGTGCCGCTGGTGTCCCGCTGGACCAGAACCAGCCTGCCGGGTCGGGACGCGATACACCGCCAACCGGTCGCTCTATTCACTCCACGGCAGCGCGCTAGAGTGCTGGTAGCGCGCCGCGCGGCCTCACCCCCTCAGGTCGCCCCTTGACCTTCACCGGGGGGAGGCCGCTACCTACAGGGGCCGGGACATACGGGCGTATTCCCGCCTCCGGCCCCCGGCTCGACGGCGACGGATCGGTGCGGAAAGGGAAGAGCTCTCCCTCTCGCTCCGCCGCCTCCTCCTGCGAGATGGTGGACTCGCAGAAGTCGAGCATCGCCTTCCAGGACGCGTCGCTGCCGAGCATCGTAGCCACGACGCGCGGCAGCGGGAGGTCCTCTCCTATGACCGCGACGAGGGCGGCGCGTTGCTCATCCAATCCAGAGCAACGCGCCAATGTATGTTCCGCTGTGTCTTCCTCGTCGCGGTGTAATCTGCACCCTACCATTCATAAATCCCACAACTTTTATGAGGGCTCGTCCGGGATATGAAGAAAACATGGTGTACGGTGTAAAAGTGCGAATATTAGATGCCACATAATCGCCAAGCAAGGTAATTAAGACACGCCATTGTGTA